CCTGTGGAGTGGACAATATAGAGAGTTAAATGAAAAAGAAAGTTGCAGGGAATTCCCTGCCGATCCAGTGGTTAAGACTGAGCTTTCACTGCTGTAGCCCGGGTTCAGTCCCTCGTTGGGGAACTAAGATCCCGCAAGCTGCATGGCATGGCCAAAAAAAGAAAAAGCAAGTTGCAGTTGGTATGTATAATATAATACCATTTGTGTTTAAAAATTGTTTATATTAAGACTCCGTGCTCCCAATGCAGGGGGCCCAGTTTTGATCCCTGATCAGGGAAGTAGATCCCACGTGCATGCCGCAACTAAGGAGCCTGCCTGCCACAACTAAGACCCGATGCAACCAAATAAATAAATATTTTTTTAAAAATTGTTTATATTATATATATACACATGCAAATATCATATATATAATATAAAATATAGTCTCCTTAGTATTATCTGAGACAGTATAAGTATCAGAATAGGGACTTCCCTGGTGGTCCAGCGGTTAAGACTTTGCCTTCCAATGCAGGGAGTGCAGGTTTGATCCCTGGTCAGGGAGCTAAGATCCCACATGCTTCCCGGCCAAAAAACCAAAACATAGAACAGAAGCAATATTGTAACAAATTCAATAAAGACGTTAAAAATGGTCCACATAAAAAAAAACTTAAAAAATAGAATATATAGAGCTATTTTCATTTGGCAAAAATATTTAAAACGGTTTAGCTTAAAAGTCTAGGCAATCTGGTGAATGTAAAAATTTACTTTGGGGGCTACGGAGCCAGGAAGCACCATTCGTGTTGTGTTCTATGTGAACAGTACCCCTGAAGTTGTGCAACTGCAGTTGCCCTTCCTGGAGTTCCCCCCCAAAGAAGCTGTCACCTCCCAGAGCAGCGGCAATGATTAGCCAGCTTGCTTCCCCCATGTGTGACTCCTAGTGGCCAATTTCCCAGGACGTGACTGTTTGTAGTTAATGATCCTTCTGATGTATACCAGCGAGGCCAACTCCTAAGTAGGTGAATAATAAGCAGCAAAACTTATATTTGTGGAGATGTCCATTCTAGCATGTTGTGGGGTCCTCCTTACGAAAGCAACCAACTCTTCCTTCTTCCAACCACCTTCAACCTCCAACCCAGCTCACGATCCAATGAGAAGATGTGGAAATTTTCCAGTTGAAACTCAGTGGCACAGGGTTGAAAGTAATTTAGCCACATATGCAAATGTTCTCTAGCAACAGGTTTCTAGCTTTTTTCCCTCAAACTTAGCTGCATAATGGAATCACCTGGGAAGGTTTTAACTCCCATGCCAATGGGAAAAGACTGAAAAAGAATAGATACATGGTTATGTAAACTGAATCACTTTGCTGTACACCTGAAACTAACACAACATTGTTAATCAACTGTGCTCCAATATAAAATAAAATTTTTTTAATTGAAAAAAAAACCCTCCCACACGCAGGGTGAACACATATCTAGAGAGTCAAATCTTTAATGAGGTTTCTCAGCATTGGCCATATTGACATTTGGGACCAGACATTCTTTACTATGGAGGCCTTTCTCTTTCTCTGCATTGTGGGATGTTTAGTACCATCCCTCGGCTCTACCCACTAGATACCAGTCACACCCTCTCCCGGTTGTAACAACCAAAAGACATTGCTAAGTGTTTCCTGGTGGAAGGAGCAAATCACCCAATTGAAAATCACTGCTTTGGGGGCAAGACCCAGGCATCACAGTTTAAAAAAATCTTCCCAGGTGATTCCAGTTTAAGAGCTGTGATCTGATGGAATTTACTTTGGGAAGCGTATCCTGGTGGAGAGTCCCAGGAGTTTTGGAGTGGGTTTTTATAAACTGTGATTTAATATTGATTCAGTAAAAATGAGTATATTCTGAGCCAGATGAGCAGTTCCATTCATCCTATCTAGTAAACATCTGTTTCTTTCTATTAAGGGGACTTTAGAAAACAAAGAGGCTGTGAACATCATGAGAGGTTAGCAAAGCCAGCTGAGCATGTAACTTAACAAGGAATCTTTACAGTGAGCTAATGAAAGGGACCTGAGGTAATGGAAGGTCTAAACAACACTCGAGGGCCATTGGGGGGGTACCTTATTGGTGCCAAGATAGTATCTACCGTTGAATGGAGGTCCCCTGTGGGCCAGGGTCTTGTGCTAGGGGATCTATTTACATGTCATCAAATAAGACATCTAAGTTAATACTAACTGTAGTAATAATAATAATGAATGGGGCTGGCTGAAAGAGTAGGTATGACTAACTGTAGTAATAATAATAATGAATGGGGCTGGCTGAAGGAGTAGGTATGTCAATACTTTTGAAACATGTTTTAAACCTAACTGGTGTACATAAGCGTTTACACATTTCAAGCATGCTCCTCAGTCCCATTGTGGCAGGAACTGTAAGTTGGTTCACAAAACACCCTTTCCATTTTCTTTCTATTGTGGAAGCCAAAAAGCTAAAAACTTGCCTTCCAAATTCCTCTGCTGTTGGGAGTAGCCATGTGGCATAATTCTGGCCATTAAGAATGCAAGCCGGAAAAAAAAGAATGCAAGCCAGGACTTCCCTGCTGGTCCAGTGGTTAAGAATTCGCCTTCCAATGCAGGGTACGTGGGTTCAATCCCTGGTCAGGGAACTAAGATCCCACATGCCGAGGGGCAACTGAGTCTGCACGCTACAACCAGAGAGCCCACATGCTGTAACTACAGAGCTCACGTGCTCTGGAGCCTGCACGCCACAACTAGAGAGAGAAAACCTGCACACGCAACTAGAGAGAAGCCCACGTGCTGCAATGAAAGATCCCCTGTACCGCAACTTAGACCCAACGCAGCCAAAGTTAGAAATAAATAAATAAATACTTTTTTAAAAAGAATGCAAGCCTATGAGGACAGGAATTTTTGTCTGTTTCGTTCTCTGCTGGTCAAAATTCACCACGTTGTACACCCTAAAAATGTCCAGTTTGGGTGGGAGGATGGGACAGATGTTTAAGGCTACAAATTTGCAACAAGCAGTAAATAAGTCCTAGAGTAGTTCCAGTGTAGTGAATATAGACAACAGTATTATAATCATTAAACTTGCTAAAAGACTAGAACTTAATTGTTCCAGCCACTAAAAGAAAGGATAATTATGTAACGTGGAAGAGGTGCAAATAATCACTACAATGGCAATCATATGATACTATATAAATGTATCAAATTAGCATGTTGTACACCTTAAGTTTACACAATGTTATGTCAAATATATTTCAATTAAAAAATTTAAATATCCAGTCTATTGTACATCACTTTTACTTCAACAGTGTGAAAAATAAAAGAGCAATTGTTAAGAAAATTAAAAGGCAAGTTAGAAATTGGAAAAAAACAAAAACAAATTTCTTGTTTGGTCCTGCAGGAAGCCAAGGTGAGAATCCTGAGGGGAAAGGAGACACCAAGACTCTGAATTTCAGGTCAATTGCAAGGCTGATATTTACCCAGCTAACACTAGATGTCACCATTGTGCTGTGAAAAATGTAGCTGACATTCAGGTGTTCTATTTAATATTCAGGACCGAGGGAAGCCTTCAAGTGTTTGAAATTGTTCATTTCTCTCCTCTCCTGATCCCAGTATATGATTACTGTGGCCTTATTAAAACTCCCTGAACCTTGATTTTCTCATGCGTATGATTCATTCCGCATCCCTTGAGCCGGGTAGTGCTTGAGGTTGTCCAAGCTCCAAGGAAGACACCAGGGAGGTCGCCGGCCTCAAAGCTCCTGGTGGAGGGTCTCCCCGTGCAGCGGTTCCCACCTCTGGGTCTCTGCCTCGGACCTGCGCTAGCTTCCCCCACCCCAACCCCGCTGTCGGAGGCCACACAGCTGCAAGCTCCACTACTGCAGCCTGAGCTGGAAAGAGAGCAGCCTGGGGATGGTGAGCTCGAGGGAAGTGTGTGCAGATGGCACTGCCCTGCATGAGAGGGAAAGAGGCAAGGAGGCCGTGCAGAGTTTTAGAATGAGGAAACCTCCTGGCCCTGAGAGACAGAACAGCCCCCTGGGTTCTGTCACTGAAAGCTGAGGCTTTAACCAAGGCTGTGGAAGTGTCCAGTTGTTTTGGAGCGTCCAAACCCAGCAGTTTGGTACACCACATGTAGCACAGAAGTTATCGTTCCCCAAAGTCTTTAATGATTCCTGGGCTTTGGCAAGAAATATCAGGAAAGCACATATTGTATATGGAATAGAGGAAAATGATTAGTGAGACCTCACTAATATTTTAATTTGTTGCATTAGTAATTCAGAAATTTCTGTTTAGGATAGTGTACTTCATGAGTATATGGGGTCTTATCCTCAGTGAAAAGAACAAGGGCTCTCCAGGTAATTAGAAACAGAAGCTCTCTGGTTTGTGAGGGATGTCTAGGTAAAGGCAATCTCCTTATTCACAGGCTTATTTACCATTGGATTTATGGAAAGTAGCCCAATTATCTAGGCAGAGTATGTTTCATACATTTCCTGTATTGATGCATTTAAGAATATTTTAAACAACTTACATTTATTGTGATAAATTTTGGTCTGACATCTGTCATCTTGAATGCTTTTAATTTTTAATGATTACTTGTGTCCTATTTTGTCCCTTTTGCTTTCTTTGCTCTTTTATCAATTTCTGTTAAAGATTTTTTTGATGTGGACCATTTTTAAAATCTTTATGGAATTTGTTACAATATTGCTTCTGTTTTATGTTTTTTGGTTTTTTTGGCCTCAAGGCATGTGGGATTTTAGCTCCCTGACCAGGGATTGAACCTGCACCCCCTGAATTGGAAAGTGAAGTTTTAACCACTGGACTGCCAGGGAAGTCCCTCTCTTTTCTCAATTTTTTAAAAGGTATTTCTCCTGGTTTTATTCTACTAGTGGAACTATTGAAATTTTTTTAAAGTTCTTTAAAATACTTCAAGTGTAGAAAAATTAAGAGAATAACAAACACCCATGTACCTCCCCTCAGCTTTATCGTATCTGACCATTTTGTCATGGCTATTCCATGTGTTTTTTAGAACTAAAGCATTACAGATGGAATTGAAGTCCCCTGTATACATCTTTTGAATTGCATTTACCTCTCTGTGGTTCCAGAGGTAGGTACCATATGAATTTGTTGTTATTCATGCTCATAGATGCTTGAAAACTTGTTATATATGGTTATTTCCATAAACATCATAACATTATTTTACATATTTTTAATGTATATAAATAGTATACTTGATATTTTCTTCTGCAGCTTACTTTTTAAAATTTTTAATCTAATTTTTATTTTATATTGGAGTAGAGTTGATCTACAATGTTGTGTTAGCTTCAGGTGTAGAGCAAAGTGATTCAGTTATACATATACATATATCCATTCTTTTTCAGATTCTTTTCCCATATAGATTATTACAGAGTAGTAAATAGAGTCCCTGTGCTATACAGTAGGTCCTTGTAGATGATCCATTTTTTTTGAACATCTTTATTGGAGTATAATTGCTTTACAATGGTGTGTTAGTTTCTGCTTTATAACAAAGTGAATCAATTATACATATACATATGTCCCCATATCTCTTCCCTCTTGCATCCCCCTCCCTCCCACCCTCCCTATCTCACCCCTCTAGGTGATCACAAAGCCCCAAGCTGATCTCCCTGTGCTATGCGGCTGCTTCCCACTAGCTATCTATTTTACGTTTGGTAGTGCATATATGTCCATGCCACTGTCTCACTCTGTCCCAGCTTACCCCTCCCCCTCCCCGTATCCTCAAGTCCATTCTCTAGTAGGTCTGCATTTTTATTCCCGTCTTGCCCCTAGGTTCTTCTGACCTTTTTTTTCCCCCATATATATGTGTTAGCATATGGTATTTGTTTTTCTCTTTCTGACTTACTGCACTCTGTATGACAGTCTCTAGGTCCATCCACCTCACTACAAATAACTCAGTTTTGTTCCTTTTTATGGCTGAGTAATATTCCATTGTATATATATATGCCACATCTTCTTTATCCATTCATCTGTGGATGGACACTTAGGTTGCTTCCATGTCCTGGCTATTGTAAATAGAGCTGCAATGAACATTTTGGTACTTGACTCTTTTTGAATTATGGTTTTCTCAGGGTATATGCCCAGTAGTGGGATTACTGGGTATATGTTAGTTCTATTTGTAGTCTTTTAAGGAACCTCCATACTGTTCTCCATAGTGGCTGTACCAATTCACATTCCCACCAGCAGTGCAAGAGTGTTCCCTTTTCTCCACACCCTCTCCAGCATTTATTGTTTCTAGATTTTTTGATGATGGCCATTCTGACCGGTGTGAGATGATATCTCATTGTAGTTTTGATTTGCATTTCTCTAATGATTAATGATTTTAAGCATTCTTTCATGTGTTTTTTGGCAATCTGTATATCTTCTTTGGAGAAATGTCTATTTAGGTCTTCTGCCCATTTTTGGATTGGGTTGTTTGTTTTTTTGTTATTGAGCTGCATGAGTTGCTTGTATGTTTTGGAGATTAATCCTTTGTCAGTTGCTTCATTTGCAAATATTTTCTCCCATTCTGAAGGTTGTCTTTTCATCTTGTTTATGGTTTCCTTTGCTGTGCAAAAGCTTTGAAGTTTCATTAGGTCCCATTTGTTTATTTTTGTTTTTATTTCCATTTCTCTAGGAGGTGGGTCAAAAAGGATCTTGCTGTGATTTATGTCATGGAGTGTTCTGCCTATGTTTTCCTCTAAGAGTTTGATGGTGTCTGGCCTTACAGTTAGTTCTTTAATCCATTTTGAGTTTATTTTTGTGTATGGTGTTAGGGAGTGTTCTAATCTCATACTTTTACATGTAGCTGTCCAGTTTTCCCAGCACCACTTATTGAAGAGGCTGTCCTTTCTCCACTGTACATTCCTGCCTCCTTTATCAAAGATAAGGTGACCATATGTGCATGGGTTTATCTCTGGGCTTTCTATCCTGTTCCATTGATCTATCTTTCTGTTTTTGTGCCAGGACCATACTGTCTCGATTACTGTAACTTTGTAGTATAGTCTGAAGTCAGGGAGCCTGATTCCTCCAGCTTCGTTTTTTTTCCTCAAGATTGCTTTGGCTATTCGGCATCTTTTGTGTTTCCATACAAATTGTGAAATTTTTTGTTCTAGTTCTGTGAAAAATGCCAGTGGCAGTTTGAAAAAATATGGAACGCTTCATGAATTTGCGTGTCATCCTTGTGCAGGGGCCATGCTAATCTTCTCTGTATCATTCCAATTTTAGTATATGTGCTGCTGAAGCGAGCACCAGCTTACCTTTTTTTTTTTTTTTTACAACTTTATTTATTTATTTATGGCTATGTTGGGTCTTCGTTTCTGTGTGAGGGCTTTCTCTAGTTGTGGCAAGCGAGGGCCACTCTTCATCGCGGTGCACGGGCCTCTCACTGTCGCGGCCTCTCTTGTTGCGGTGCACAGGCTCCAGATGTGCAGGCTCAGTAATTGTGGCTCACGGGCCCAGTTGCTCCGCGGCATGTGGGATCTTCCCAGACCAGGGCTCGAACCCGTGTCCCCTGCATTGGCAGGCAGATTCTCAACCACTGCGCCACCAGGGAAGCCCCCTAGCTTACTTTTTAAATTCAACTTTATAGACTTGAGATTTAACCACATAGCTCAGTTCATTCATTTTCACTGATGTTTAATATCATGGTTTTATATTTTCCATCTCTGTCAAGCTGTACTCTTCAATGGGACAGGCCACAACAGTGAGAGGCCTGCATACCGAAAAAAATATATATATATTGGCAAATCCAGTTTTGGGTGTGGGTGTGGGGAAATGGGCATTCTTGTGCTCTGTTGTGACCATAAATTGATGATGAACTTTCTGGGTGGCAGTTTGCTAGCAGTGTATGTAATAAAATTTTAAATATGCTACCCCTTAGACTCAGAAATTCCACATCTACTAGAAATTTACTCTCAGGTAATAATAAAATTGTATTCAGAAATATACTTATGAGAGTATTTCTTGTAGCTTTATATACACTTTATATTAATGATAAATTAGAAATGACCTAAATATCCATCAATAGGTGGATATATAATCAATATCCATCAATAGGTGATTAGATAAATTATTATAACTGCTGTGGAATACTGTACAGTCACTTAGAACAATATTGGGAATCACTGTTAATATGAAAAAGACATGCCCATACCTTGTTGACTGACAAGTAAGTTATGGTTGAGCATACATAGTATGATACCTGTTTTGCCAGATTCTAGCAGAAGCAGAGCCTGAGATGGGGATTCTTGTGCAAGTGATTAATTGAGTGTGCTTAGGAGATACAGGACCAGGGAAAAAGCTAGGCAAAGATGTGGTCTTAGCTGGGAACTAATTTCATATTGATCCCATGAGAATTATGGAGCTTGAATACATCTACTACAATATTTTCTATAAAATTGAATTTATGGTCATGTAATATGCATATGAGCTTATATGCATGAAAAGATTTCTACAAAGGTATTTACCAAATATTGTTTTCTCCTGTTTTCCATGGGATTTCTAATAATTTTTACATTGCTTGGTATACTTTTTTAAAAAAATTATTCCATAGGTCTTTTATTTGTATCTAACTTATCAAATTTTTTTTTAGTTCATCTAACCACTTTTTTATAATGGTGCTGATATATATTTTTTTATTTTTTAAAATTTATTCATTTTTTATACAGCAGGTTCTTATTAGTTATCTATTTTATACATATTAGTGTGTATATGTCAATCCCAATCTCCCAATTCATCTAACCATCATTAACCCCCTCCCCTGCTTTCCCCCTTTCATGTCCATATGTTTGTTCTCTACATCTGTGTCTCTGATTCTGCCTTGCAAACCAGTTCACCTGTACCATTTTTCTAGATTCCACATATATGTGTTAATGTACAATATTTGTTTTTCTCTTTCTGACTTACATCACTCTATATGACAGTCTCTAGATCCATCCACATCTCTACAGATGACCAGATTTTGTTCCTTTTTATGGCTGAGTAATATTCCATTGTGTATATGTACCACATCTTCTTAATCCATTCATCTGTCAATGGGCATTTAGGTTGCTTCCGTGACCTGGCTATTGTAAATAGTGCTGCAATGAACATTGGGATGCATGTGTCTTTTTGAATTATGGCTTTCTCTGGGTATATGCCCAGCAGTGGGATTGCTGGATCATATGGTAATTCTATTTTTAGTTTTTTAAGGAACCTCCATACTGTTCTCCACAGTGGCTGTATCAATTTACATTCCCTGTTGTACTTTTTTATAGAATTTGAATTTTCTGTGTTTACATATTCTTTTATAAGGATGTTTGTAAACTTTTGCTTTTTATTGATTTTAAACTTACATACAGTAAAAGTTACTCTTTTTTGGTTGTATAGGTCTATGAGCCTGGACAATCGCATAGTTATGTAATCACCACTACTGCAATCAAGATTCAGAACAGTTCTATCATTTCAATAAAACTCTCTGCTGCCCATTTGTAGTTAAATCCTCCCTTAACCCTTGACCTTGGAAATCACTGATATGGGAAACAATGTTATGGAATTAATGTGGGAAAGCTTCAGATACAATATAAATGACATCACTAGTGAAGCCACATAGGGGGAAAAATTGAAATAAGTTGTGGCTATTCCAAGTGTAAACTGAAGGCTCTCCAGTATCCTAGTGTTATTTGGTCAACCTTCTCCTTTTTCTATTTTTTCTCCCCCTCAATATTCCTAAAGGACCACTAACTGGTAGCCAGGGCTCCCCTGCACCCGAGATCCTGAGCCTCCAACAACATGAATAGATGCCCTCAACCCCATCCTTGGAAGCCAAGTACCACAGCCTCTCTATGGAAGATCTGTCCAGCCAGAAGCCCCCCAGAAAAGACCTTCTGTCTGTATCCAGAGCAATAAATTGGGCTGAAGAATTCTGCCTAGAGTCTAAGTCCCCTTTGTATTTTTCCTACTAGTTGAATTTGAACTGAATTACAGAGTTTACAGTCCAGCCTCATCAGGGCCTGATAATTATCTGTCTAGGAAAAGTGGAACTGGAAGTGTTTGCAGAGCCCCAAGAGATGTTAAGGCCCTCAGTGACTGAGTTGAAGCAGTGAGAACGGAGATAAAAGCCAGGGTCATACTGCAAAGGCGGCCAGAAATCTGCCTAGGTTGCTTTGAGATCTCAGATATGTCTCCTTTTTCTAGGATTCCATTTCCTTGTTGAAATAACGAAGTGATTTTTTTTGTTCCTTAAACAGGGCTGACTTTTGTTTTGTTTTGTTTTGTTTTTATTTTGCCGTGCTGGGTCTTAGTTGCAGCATGCAGGATCTAGTTCCCGGGCCCCCTGCTTTGGGAGTACGGAGTCTTAACTGCTGGACCACCAGGGAGGTCCTTGGAGTGATCTTTATTTTATTTTAAAAATTATTTATTTATTTATTTTGGCTGTGTTGGGTCTTCGTTGCTCCGTGCAGGCTTTCTCTAGTTGCGGCGAGCAGGGGCTACTCTTCGTTGCAGTGCGCGGGCTTCTCATTGTGGTGGCTTCTCTTGTTGCTGAGCATGGGCTCTAGGCGCGCGAGCTTCAGTAGTTATGGTTCGCAGGCTCTAGAGCTCAAGCTCATTAGTTGTGGCGCAGTGGTTTAGTTGCTCTGCAGCATGCCGGATCTTCCTGGACTAGGGCTCGAACTGGTGTCCCCTGCATTGGCAGGCGGATTCTTAACCACTGCGCGCCACCAGGGAAGTCCCTGGAGTGATCTTTAAATGAAGAAGGCATATCTCAGAACATTTTGTTGTCAGCCAAGAGCACTGGGACAGAATAAACATTGTCGATTTTGAAGTAGTCTGGATGCTAATTATGTGTGATGGGAAATTAAGAATATCTAAATATTAATTTCTAGAGCGGTACCATCCAGAAGGCTGAATAAATGTACAGGTGATTCATACAAATGAGCTTGTGTGTATCTACAGTTACAGCTGTTTCTCGTTACAAAGAGTTATAAACAGTACTGCCTTGATCCAGCTGTTCTTTATCGTGACTGGGCCTTTTTAATAGCCTCCTAACTGCTTTCCTGCCCAGCTTAAATCCATTCTTCATACTGCAGTTGCAACTTGATTGACCTACAGCGAAATCTGACCCGATCCAATGAGCACAGCCAGCTTGACTGCAGTCAAATAAGAGAATCCCCAAATGCTAGCGCTCATCGAGGCTGACCTTTGGCTTCCTCCGCCCCATACAAAATGCTGAAAGGCAGTGCCACCATAGGCCACCGGGAAAAAAAGCAGCCTGTTCTTCGTAGGAGTTGGTCCGGGTGAAAGGGAGTGAAGCCCCCAGAGAAGCGCGGGCGTTCTACGAGAGCGGAAGCGCAGGCTCCGTAAAGCGCGCCAGCTGGTGAAGTACTTCCGGAGCGCCGGAGCGCCGGAGCGTCGCCGCCCACCGTCGGAGGTGAGTGCAAGGTGAATAGGCGTTCTTGTTCCACATTCCGGGCGGGCAGCGCCACAGGTTCCCCCAGGCCCCGGGGAGGCGGACCCGGGAGGGGGTCGGGCGGTGGCGCAGGGCCGCATCAAGCGAGGAGGTCTGCGGGCAGTCCAGCCCTGCCCAGACTCCCTCAGCCCCCCGCCGCGGCCGCTTTGGGAGTGGGGCGGGGGTGTGGACTGCCTTGGAAGGGGTGGCCCCGGTAAGTGACACGCTACGGTTTAGAAAGTGACCGTATCGAGCGCCTACTAAGTGCAGTGTTGTTCCGGGTTCCGGGGACGCAACTGTGATTGAGACGGACGCGGGGACTTTTCAGCCTCATGGGAAAGTTGATATTAATCAAGTCTGATCATAACCGCTGCTCCTGCTCGTAATAACCCCATTGTTTGGGGGCAGAAGACGATGTTCTTAACGTTCATGGGCCCTGTGTGGCCTGGCATCTTGCTTTTGTTTACGTGTATTTTTTTGCTCTATTGTTTCACGCGGGAGAGAGCATTACTTAGTGGTTATGAATACAGATCTTGTGGCCTAACATAATTAATTAAACTTTCTAAGGCTCATTTCTTTGTTTTGGTCAAATGAGGACAACAGTATTACATATCTCCTAGTACATAGTAAAGTGCCCGAGTTCTGAGGCTGGCACATTGCAGGCCTTCAGTAAATGTCAGCTGTCGTTATTCGCAGCTAATACAGGTTTACAGGTTTAAAGGAAAGGTATTGACTGAGTTGGGCTCACTCTTGTTTCTCTTTGCTTCTTCTTTCAGCCCCTGCCCTTCATTGAGAGGGAGCCCCGGTGATGGCTATCAGGCCCCTTAAAGCCTGGCACAAGGTGAGCATGGGATCCCTCAGATGTGTCTTCAAGAGATCTGATTTGAAGGAAATGGAGACTGAGAGGGGTGATTCTGACACAGTCCTAGAGCCAAAGCAGTAGGAAGACCCCTGTTCACACATCCCTCATCCAACCCCCGTCCTCCCCCAGTGAGACTGGATGATGGTGAGAGGCTAAGCAGTAGAGACCCCAGGGCCCAGGAAGTGATGGCTGGAGATAGCTGGAGAGAATGTCCTGGGAAGCAAAAGTACAGCCTCCTGCATTCTGAGGATTTCTGCTCAGCCAGAGGATCTCCAAGTTCAATAGTTTCCCCCACAGAGGGATATGTGAGAATGAGGGACTCGGGCTAGTGGTGTGGATCACAAGGTTCTTGGGAAGTGGGGGCAGAGGGACAGCAGGAGGAAGGCAAGAAAAGGGGGGCCTGTGCTGAAACCGCACAACTCAGATGGGACTTGAATCCAGCCGAAACCCAGACTGGGACTTGAACTCCCTGTTTTTTAATTGAGATCACACACCTGGTCTCAGGATTTAATGACACTCAGGTTCTTTACGTCTCCTCGAAGAAAGCATTCAGTGAGAAACAAAGTGATAGGTAAGAAGTGGATTTATTTGTAGAGATACACATTCTATTAATGTAAGTTCCTGTGCCCAATGCACAGTGAGGCCAAACAAACTGAAACGTTGAAGTTTGGAGCAGAGAAAGGTTTATTGCAAGGCCATGCAAGGAGACGAGGTGGCTTATGCCCTAAAAGCCCCAAACTCCCCAAAGGGTTTCAGCAAAGCACTTTTAAAAGCCGGGTGAGGGAGGGGGGTGCAGGGTGTGTGGTCAGCTTGTGCACAGTTCTCTGACTGGCTGATGGTGTAGCAGGATGGGGTCACAGGGCTAACATTATCAGTCCTTAGGCTCCAGGAGGCCTGGGGTGGGGGAGTGGTTACATCTGCAAAACAACTCAGGAAATGTGCATCAAATGCTACTCTCTAAGTACTTAAGAGAGGAGCTAAAGCAGAGGATACGGGGGAAGGCCTGTAACCCAGGAGTCCTGCTGGGTTACAGTTCCATAGACAGAAAGTGGTCCATCTCAAAGGGCGAGAGTGGCCCTAGGAGAAGCACACTCCACAGAGACAGTGTGGGCCATCTCAGAAAATGAGAGGCCCTGGGTTTCCCTGGTGGTGCAGAGGTTAAGAATCCGCCTGCCAATGCAGGGGACACGAGTTCGAGCCCTGGTCCGGGAAGATCCCACATGCCACAGAGCAGCTACGCCCATGCGCCACAACTACTAAGCCAGTGCTCCAGAGCCTGCGAACCACAACTACTGAGCCCACGCACCTAGAGCCCATGCTCCACAACAAGAGAAGCCACTGCAATGAGAAGCCTGTGCACCACAACGAAGAGTAGCCCCTGCTCACCGCAACTAGAAAAAGCCCGCAGGCAGCAATGAAGACCCAACGCAGCCAAAAATAAATAAATAAAATAAAAAGGATCCGCCTGCCAATGCAGGGGACACGGGTTCGATCCCTGGCCTGGGAAGATCCCACACGCTGCGGAGCAACTAAGCCCCTGTGCCACAACTACTGAGCCTGCGCTCTAGAGCCCGTGAGCCACAACTACTGAAACCTGTGCACCTAGAGCCTGTGCTCCACAACAAGAGAAGCCACCGCAATGAGAAGCCTGCGCCCCACAACAAAGAGTAGCCCCCACTCGCCACATCTAGAGAAAGCCTGTGCACAGCAGTGAAGACCCAACACAGCCAAAAATAAAAACAAATAAATAAATAAGTTTATTCAAAACAAAAAAAAAGTGTCTCTAATCTTCTGACATTTGTTGCCTGTGGAGCTTAGGGTCAGGATCTTGGGCTTAAGTTTGCTGTTGTGTGGTGATCCATTTAAGTGTTTTAACCCACAGAGTTGAGGTCAGGTTGGCATTTTCTATAGATCATTCTATGTGCTGGACAGAAGGTGGACTTGGAGGATGAGTCTGGAGTTAGGGACTGTTGCAGTGCTGAGGGACAGTTGCTGAGGAACTGAAAAATTATATGGTGAGTAATGATGGCGAGTAGGAGTCAGATCCAAGAAATACTTAGGAGATAAAATTGGCAGGATCTGATTACTGATTGTGTGTCAGAACTGAGCAGTGAGTAGGGAAATGGTTAAGAGGGATTCTCGGGTTTCTAGCATAGGAGACCAGGCTGAAAGTGTTGGTACTAACTCACTGAGACAAGGGATCAAAATCAGAACCAACATCATGTTTGAGCATTTGTTTCTCACCGTTTGTTTCTCACGTACTGAGCAGTTGGTGTGAATTTGGAGGAGCAAAGGAGCCAGTTTAGGAAGGGAGATGAGTTCAAAACTGGATTGTGGCTCATATGAATGAGGAACATAACTGGGATGAAGGTTGTATCAGCTTAAAGGAAAAAAAGCACAACATAAGATCTGTGAGTTGAGTTTATTCAGTGTTTTACTAAGGACTGTAGCCCAGGAGTCAGCCTCTCAGCTCTGAGAAACTGTTCTGAAGAGATAAGGAAGGAGCCAGGATGTATATGAATATTTGCCATGGGGGAGAAAAAAAAAACATGTCAAACATCAAAAGATTACTCCTAAACACAAAGACATCTTGAGTTAATGATTTTAGTGCTTTGCATGGGAAGATGCAAGAATTTGGGGTCATTGAAAAATTTCCTTAGATATGTATCTTAACTAACTAGGGGTTGTATCCAGAGCACAGAACGATTCCTGTTTTTCTCCATCCTGAATTCTTCTCCATCCTGAATTCCTCTCAGGCGCATTGTGGGTGGAAGACTGCAGTGGCTAATGGCTTGATCCTTGTAAAACTGGAATGGCAGGCAACAATATTTTTTTTCTTTAGTCATCAGGGCATCTGAGTTAGCCATGTGGTGATGCCAGAACCTCATGAGACCTTGGAGTGAGGAGATGGAAGGGTCATCACCGCACAGGGAAGGCACCAAAGAGACCAGGGGATCAGATCATGGCACTGTATGGGAAGGGAGAGTTGGGCTGCTGGCAGTTTTGTCTGGCAGAGGACAGATTATGTGAGGGGCATAAAGAGAGATGGCCCAAGGAGCTACCTAGCAGCCATTAGAATCAGGAAGCCCCTTCTCCTAGGAAGACCATCCGGAGTTGAGTAGGCTGTTCAGAGGGAAATCTGCTGGAGGGGCTCAAGCAGAGGCTTCACAGTCCCCCCCCCCTTTTTTTTTTTTTTTTGCGGTACGCGGGCCTCTCACTTCTGTGGCCTCTCCCGTTGCGGAGCATAGGCTCCAGACGCGCAGGCTCAGCAGCCATGGCTCACGGGCCCAGCCGCTCCGCGGCGTGTGGGATCCTCCCGGACCGGGGCACGAACCCGTGTCCCCTGCATCGGCAGGCGGACTCTCAACCACTGCGCCACCAGGGAAGCCCAGGATATATTTTTTTAAATAGACCTTTATTGGAGTATAATTGCTTCACAAGACTGTGTTAGTTTCTTGTGTTAGTTGTAAGAATGGCTATTTCTGATAAACCCTGAGGCTGTGAGCCACGTGGCAGAGCAGTTCTCCTGGGTTCCCTTACCCAGCTGCTCTCTGCCCGGGCGCCCCCTTCCCGATAAAGTCTTTTGCTTTGTCAGCAAAAAAAAAAAAAAAAAAAAAAAAGATATTTCTGGGTCTCTCCTTCAAGCATTCATTCTTCTGACTTTCTTAGTAAGCATTCAAAAGCATAGAGCTTAGGACTGAAAACCTAATAAGATTTTCTTTTCTCTACTTCTGTGCTGTTATCATGGTAGTCACTAGCTACATGTGCTTATTAAATTAAACTCTTAAGCACTTGAAGTGGGGCTGATTCAGATTGAGAGATGCTGTAAGTACCAGAGTTTGAAGACCTAGTATAAAAAAATGTAATTTAGGGGACTTACCTTGCAGTTCAGTGGTTAAGACTCTGCAGTTCCACTGCAGGGGGTGTGGGTTCCATCCCTGGTCAGGGAACTAAGATCCTACATGCCACGCGGCACGGCCAAAAAAAAAAAAAAAAGTAAAAAGTAAAAAAATGTAAATGGCCTCATTAATAATCTTTATGTTGATTTCATGTTGAAATAAAATTTTGGATATATTGGGTTAAATAAAATATATTATTTAAATATATTACATAAAATGTATTATTAAAATTAATGTTGCCATTTTCTTTTTACTTTTTTAATGTGGCCACCAGAAAATTTAAATTACATATGTAGCTTGCATTTATGGCTCACATTATAGTTCTTTGGACATCCCTCTTCTACTGCAGAGCATATCCTTAAGCCCCCTTACTTAGCCATCCATGCATAAATGTTGTTGGTGCATGTGGAAAGTCTAGAACACAGAGTTTATGGCCGACCTGAAGAGTTCTGTCCTAGGGAACTTACTGCATGGGAACAGAAAATGAGAGAGCAGTCATGTTGTATGAAAGGAGAGAAGGTTAGCAGTCCCCTTGACAAGGATGGAAGAGGCCCTCGGACCTGACAATATGTATTCAGAAAATTAGAGTGCAGTCAAATGGGAGTGTGGAGCAGGGGCCCCACCGCGGTGCCTTTGCCATCGTGACAGAGTTCCGTAATGGGCTCTGTTTTAGAAATACTAACTCAAAATAGTATGTAATTTGATTGGACTGAGGAAAAAATGAAGGCATAAACCCCTATTCCATTGTCATTATATTGCAATTAATAACTTTGGAGGCCTACACAAGTTTGGGGACAGGGTGATGTAGGGATGGAAAGGATTGTGAGAAATGTCCTGGTACCACTGACAGAGCTTAGTAAAAGTGTCAGTGAATTGGGTAACGTAGGGGAGTCCTGATATAAAAACAGTTTTTATGATAGATGACACTAGACTTAATGCCACGAAGTTTGAGTTTTCTTGGGACACCCACCTCCCTGGGTATAGCAGGCTGTTGAGAATGCAGCTCTGTAATCTTGGGGAGAGGTCAGGTCTGGAATTGTACAGTTATTTTTGAGCCAGAATAATTTTATTATTGCAGTG